TTTGCTTTGTTCTAAAAATTATTTTATTTATTTATTTATTTTAGGGGTTTTTGCTATAGGGCACGTGCCCTCACCAGAAAGACAAAGAGAGACAGAGAGATAGAAAGCGAGAAATCACCCCCCAGGGGGATAGCCAGGCCGCAATCCCTTCTCCTCCATTCTCCTGTCGGGATCCTGGACACGCACACACATGCACCCGGCGTGAGTCTAAGCCACTGGGTCTGGGACTCAAACCATGGTCGGCTACATGGGAGTTCAGTAACACAGCCATTACACTAACTGCTGGTCCCAACTTTATTATTTATTTTAATTTGACCAGAGAGGGACAGAGCAAGAGAGAGAGAGAAGGAAAGTGAGAAAGCAAGTAGCCAGATTGGAGATTCGAACCACAGTCACCCATGTGTGAGTCCAGCACCCTTATCCATCACACCATCTGCTGGCCCCCAACATGACGTTTTGAAGTATATATGCAATTTATCTATCTAGCTAATTAACAAATGTATTGCCTCAGTTATTTTTGTGGTGAGAACACTTAATCTGTTATAGCCTTAAGTCTTAATAATCACTAATCACATTTTCATTTAAACTGGTCTTTTAAGGAAACTTGATCAGAACACTAACTCACTCTGATTTCTATTTTTTAAATATTTGCCAGAGGATACATGTATTCACCTGAGAGAAAAAAGGGGAAACAGTACCCTCCGATGAGGCGTGGTCACACCACAATATGTTTCCTCCATTTCTCCATTCCACCAGAATTTGGGTGTACACACACACACACACACACAGAGAGCATGTTTTTCAAGCCACCAGGGCTGGGATTCAAACCACAGTGAGTTACGTGAGCTCCAACTCCCAATGCCCAAAACTTAATTGCTGTGCTGTAGGGCCGATCCATGATTCCTTTTTTTAAAAAAAGAATTATTTTATTTAACTTTATTTATTTATTTATTTACTTGTTTTAATTTGACCAGAGAGGGAGAGAGAGAGAGTGAGAGAAAACGTGAGAAAGCAAGTCGCCAGGTCTGGGGCTTGAACCACGGTCGACCATGTGGAAGTCCAGTGCCCTTAACCACCATCCCACCTGCTGGCCCCATGATTCCTATTTTAATGTTGAGTTGATTCATACCTCTGGGTCTCGTACCTGAGTCATAAATGGATCTTGGCATTACAAGCCCTCCACCCCCACCCCACCCCACCCCACCCCAGACAGCTCCTCGTCCCTGCACGAAGCTCACGGAGGTGCCTGCTCACACTGCTCCGTGACTGGCTTTGATCTGCTTCATCTGCCGGCACCAACCCCAGGTTCCAGATTCTCCTGGACATTCTGCTTCACTGGCAGAAGCCATGCAGCTACAGTCCCAAAACCTCCATGCCCAAAGCATAACATTTCTGTCTTCTTTACCACTAGAAAGAAGAAATTTACCAC